CAACACAACAAATACAATAAAGCGGAAATAATAAAAGCGACAAGAACAAACAAAACACCAGAACACCAGATATACGTGGTTCGGTCAAATGACTTTGACCTACATCCACGGAAGAAAGAGGAGCAAATTACTACTATAAAAGAGGGACACTTACAAATGCCTTGGGAAATGTTCCTAGGCCATAAAACACCTTCAGCTTCCTAAACAAGAAGACTTCAAACCATAAGCAGGTTTTCTTGTGATGCCTGCTGTACTTCTTGTGGTGTCTGTGGTACCTCTCGTGGTGTATCTAACATCAAAGCTCAGGCCCTTATTTATAGTTCCAAGACGAGACAACAAGTCTGATTTTCCCAATGTGGGACTATGGGACTTGCCAAACTAACAACACCAGATTTACGTGGTTCGGTCAATTGACCTGCATCTACGGACGAAGGAGGAGCAAATTACTACTATAAAAGGGGGACTATTACAAATGCCTTAGGAAGATGTTCCTAGGCCATAAAACACGAAACTACTAAATAAGAAAAGCCTAAAGCAAACAATTATGTGTTCTTGTGGTGCATCTGACTTCAAAACCCATGCCTTTATTTATAGTTTAAACAGGAGATACCAAACTTGATTTTCCTGATGTGGGATTATGTGGGACTTGCTAAACTAACACTTTCGACACAAACCTAATCGATGTTGATGCCGCTACTGAAGAAGAAGAAAAAGAAGACATCAATGATCTTTATGGTAACTTACCTTGCATGCTCAAGTCTCGACCATCTAATGCCTTCTGGTTTTGGAGTGGCAACTCACAATCATCTTTTGCTGCTTATGGCAGGGAGATCGACATCATTCACGCTGTAATTGGCAGTCATGTTTAATATGATCATTGTAAATGGAGCTAACCATGGAAAGTCCGAGACTTCTGAGCGAAAATGCAGATCGAGATGAGAGGTTGGTTGCGACTAATGCTACATTCCCATTATATGGTGACGATATACAGAGGATATGAAATATTAACTAGGAGACTCATCAATACCCTGTGATGAGTCTCATGATAAGGCCAATATGAATAATCTCATATCCATATAATTGATTAACTAGCAAACTAATTCACGAAGCCTTTAGTCTATAACTATTTTTGTTGGATCGATCCAAGATCGATATTCTTGATAAGAGCTCGATCTTCTAAAGACATGATAATTAAGATATTTTTTTAACTGCATTGCAAATGAGATTTTCTCAACTGCACAAGGAAATCTTATAATCTTCTCTTTCACCATATATAAATAAATACCATATGATACTAATTAAATTTTTTTATCTTTTTAATTTCACTCTTTACATGAACGATGGGCTCAACATTCAATTAATGATTTAGAAACAAAGTAGTAGATGCTTTGTTTTTTTTTTTTTTTTTCTCATTGGAATCACAGTGTTCATTGCATAGTACTGTACTGTGTTTTTTTATTGCAAGAAGTGACGTTGTTACTGTCCAACATGATAAAGAAGCGTTGCCCATTTTCAAAAGCTGGCACAAAACTTCTCCTGTCATATCATCATTTCTGTTCCGCAATCACTGATGCGAAAACACAGCGTCCGAAAACAGAGTGAGGGACCAACGGCCATCACTAAATTTGAGATTCAACAGTTATGAGCACCATAAGTCAACGGTGAGAAAAATAGAGACGTGGATGGCCCTTCACCGCATGTGAGAAAAATAGAGACGTGGATCCGATGCTAAATCAACAATATCAATCATTTTTTATATCAGTGTGGTCATGTTAACTATAATTGTAATATTGGATAGTTCAACCGCATGTCTTCACGGTTAAGTAAAAATTGATGATTTTATATAATCATCTTCTAGATTAGTTCTCTCCACCTCAATTCGATACTTACTCAACCTCACTCATCAGGTACATCCTTTAATTTATGTGAAAATACTATGCATTTATTCTCTTGAATCCTAGGAAACTTCATTGACTTTTGTTAGGTACACTTTCTATGTATTTCCTATAAGATCACCTACTAAATCTCTTATTTTCTTAACATCGGACTTGTGATAAACTTAGATGTAGGATGTAACTTAGCTTTGAATCCCCTGTCAAATAATCAAAATCTAAAATAATAATATTAAAATAACATCTTTTTTATGTATTGTGCACCCAAAAAATAAAATAAAAAATCATCGATAATGACTCTGTAGGACGTAAATTAGCTTAATAGTATATTTTCTTAAGTATACTGTACCAAAAAAATTATAAAAAAATCATCGATAATGGCTCACACACAAAACACGCAACATACATAAATTGAGATTTGGGCAAAGATCCACAAACGAGGTTACAAGAAAATAAGTATTATCTATTAAGGAAATTTAAATCAGTAATCCCTTAGAAAGAGAGTCATCCAAGCTAATGGACATCTCTTTAGTACTAGTTTTCACATTATAAAGTTGAAGAGCCAAATTATAATAGGAGGTTGGCACATGAAGCACTCGATGTAAACCATACTGAGATACCATACCGTCCTAAAACATCCATCAACGAGGGCGAAAGAAATAGATGTCACGGTAATCATCCAAGCTAGCGGATACATCGGTAGCTTTGTGCCAATGTTTTTGGTCTGGTGGAGAACTAATTTTGAGATCATACGGTGGAAAAGTCGTCTCCCAAAACGCACACATTGCACGTTTGTTACTGTTCCAGATAGCTTGATTGAAAGCCCCAAAATGGTTGCGTTGATTTATCTCACAGACACTATTCTGCACCGTTTAACTGAGAAGATCCCAGATTCAAGGGTGGAAGAGAGACAAAACAGATGCATACGGTGGACTCCAAACAGTAGTATTGACTGACGAGAGGAGAGAAAAGGAAACATCAATCAAATGAAAGATAAGAAATGTGACATCATGATAAAAATGACCATGAAGAAAAAAAAAATGCATGGATTATAAGAACTAAAAAGTCAACAGTAAATTTCATAGATTATACATGGTAATAAAAGTGTAATTAAGGATTGCAACTCCCATCTATAATTCTATGTGCTATAAATAGATGAGATTCTCATGATACACGATAGACGGAGAGTTGGTGAAGTATGAGAATCCATCTATATTTGTTTGTTACATTAATTTTCTTAGTATTCTTCCTCTCCATCTCTCCTTTCCATTTGTTATGTCAACAGCGGGACTTCTCGCCTGCAGTCACCTTCTGCCGCCCGATTATTTCTCGTGCCATTAATTATGGGTACCAACAGCATAGCGACGTTTTCATCGATCTTGTGTTTCATGCACCACAAGTCGAAGACGAAGTCTTCTTTCGTTGGCTACTTAAGACCATGGAACCTTCAACGTTCAACCATCTCTCTCCTCTTTGCTTCTCTGCTCTTCGTCTCCCGTTCGTAAGCTCGATGGCGGTGGAGATGGCGCAGGAGATGGGAGTGGTGGGCGGGACGGCGGACCATGTGGTTCGGGTGGGGTCGGCTGATGTCGGGGTTCACTTGACGTGGCAGGATCTGTGGGTGACCGCATCCAACGGTAAGGATGCGTCGCACGTCATCCTTTCCGGCATAACCGGCTACGCCCAGCCCGGCGCCGTCTTGGCCATCATGGGCCCCTCCGGCTGCGGCAAGACGACCCTACTTAACGCTTTAGCAGGTGATCGCATGAGATGGTGTAAATTACAACTATTAATTTAGATCTTTATTGCATGAAAGTCGAGCAACTCATGCAAGGACTACGGCAGGGAGGCTCGGCGCAAGAACGAAGCAATCCGGCCACATTTTGGTGAATGGCCGACGACAGCGACTGTCTTTTGGGAACTCGGTAATAGTAGTTCTCATCACACAGCCCCTTCTTCTGCTCCATCTCACAGTAATCTCTTTCGATTTCGATTCAGGCCTACGTGACACAAGACGACATCCTGATGACCACGCTCACAGTAAGAGAAGCGGTGTACTACTCGGCGGAGCTGCAGCTCCCCAAGACCATGACCAGGTCGGAGAAGAGGGAGAGAGCAGAGACGACCATCAGGGACATGGGTCTGCAGGCAGCCATGGACGCCAGGATCGGAGGCAACTTCTCGTCCACAGGGATCAGCGGTGGGCAGAAGAGACGAGTGAGCATATGTATTCAGATCTTGACCCACCCCAAGCTCCTCTTCTTGGACGAACCCACGAGCGGCCTCGACAGCGCGGCGTCGTACCATGTCATGAGCCGCATCGTCAACCTTGCCAAGCATGACGGCCGGACCGTGCTCGCGTCAATTCATCAACCTGGCAGTGATGTCTTCGAGCTGTTCGACGATTTGTGCCTTTTGTCTGATGGTAAAACAGTATACTTTGGACCGACTTCGGGAACCAACGAGGTACGAGTGATACGGAGGGAGATCAAGAACACTAATAAATTTACTTCATCTATTAACTTAAGATATCTCTTTGCAGTTCTTTGCTCTGAATGGTTTTGCATGCCCGACCTTCATAAACCCATCCGACCACTTCCTTAGAACAATAAACAAGGACTTCGACGAGGTATTCGATGAGTTCTTCCTTTGCGTTGTGAAGCTTTCGGAACTTGTATTCCAAGTTTCAGGCTCGTTCATTTCGAACTAAAAGCTTACGCTGAATAGGAACGGGAAGAAGGCTCCAGTGCCGGCTTGATGAATGCCACGAAGGCGATCGATGTGCTGACAACCGCATACAAGCAGTACAAGACATGCCAATACGTGGAGCGACGAGTAGCTGAGATCTGTAACATGGTGAGCTTGTCACGCTTATCACCAACACTTGATCATGATCTTGTCTCGCTGATACTAATCAATCACCATTGCTTTCGCAGGATAGGGATCTTGTAGAGAACAGAGCGCAAGTCAGTTTCTTCACCCAGGTGCTTGTTCTCACAAAGAGATCCTTGGTAAACATGCACAGGGATTTGGGTTACTACTGGCTTCGGCTTGCAGTATACCTCATGTTGGGTATATGCATTGGTACTCTATTCCACGATATTGGACACAGTTATGGGTCAATTCAGGTGAGTTGATTCCCCACGTAGCTTTCTTTGACATGATCTTGATTTCTCCTTTTGCTAAGATGGCGGAAGAAAGTCTATTGTGCGTCACATACATGCATCCATTAATGAAACTCATTTTGATGAATTGCAAGTCACATACATGCATCTATTAATGAAATGGTTCCAGGCCAGAGGTTCCGTGCTCATGTTTGTTGGAGGCTTTCTCACTTTCATGGCGATCGGAGGATTTCCTTCCTTTGTGGAAGATATGAAGGTAAAACACTTCAAGGTTTTTCGTACATGCACGAAGCTAATTGCTAACTCTTTCTTCTCCAACAACAAGATCTTTGGAGCGGAAAGACTAAATGGACACTACGGCGTCGCTGCGTTCATGATCAGCAACACGCTATCCTCGGCGCCATTTCTGGCTCTCGTCTCGTTGATTCCGGCGGCCTCCGGTTACTTCCTGATCGGCCTCCAGAGAGGGTTTGATCACTTCCTCTTCTTCTGCCTGGTGCTCTTCGCGTCCATGATGGTGGTGGAAGGACTGATGATGATCGTAGCAAGCGTCGTGCCCAACTATCTCATGGGCATCATCTCCGGTGCCGGAATCCAAGGATTGATGATGCTATCAGGTGGCTTCTTCCGGTTGCCCGGCGACCTGCCGAAGCCAGTGTGGAAGTACCCAATGTACTATATTTCCTTCCACAAGTATGCCAACCAAGGGTACTACAAGAACGAGTTCGCAGGGCTGACCTTCCCCAGCAACCAAGCAGGTGGAGCAGCCACCATCACCGGGGAGGAGGTTGTGAAGGATTACTGGCAGATGGAGGTGGGATATTCCAAGTGGGTCGATCTTGCCATACTGTTTGCCATGGTGATTATTTACAGGCTCTTGTTCTTGGTGGTCGTGAAGATGACCGAGAAGGTGAAGCCACTGCTGGTGGAGTTGCTGAATGCGCCACCCAAGAGGACCATGCAGGTCGTGGGACAGCCTCTTGAAGATTAAGCAGAGCCAAAGCATCGATGATATCAGCTCTATCCATTATCACTGATGTTTATGGCACTGTAGGGTTTGTGTTTGTGTACTCTTTAGCACTGTATGGTTTTTGTACGTTTGATGGATAAGCATCGATGTTTATGGATTGTGTACGCTTATGTGTTTACGCTAAAATTTTATATTAGCTCATATAATTAATTATTTTTTATTTTTAAAAATTATATTAGGATCTTTATATTTATGAAAATAAAATATTAATATTTTTATACAAGATTAAAAAGATAATTTCATAGAGTTAAAAATCAAAATAAAAATTTTGTTGGAATAACAGAGTTAAATAGATATAAGAATCTCAATATAATTCTTGAAAGTACAATAATCAAAATATTAAAGATAATTAATTATAGGAATAATATATAATTAACATAATTTTAAGATAAAACTATGACATAGATGATAAATTCTCAACTTTTTTGAAAAGATATTTTAGTGGTTATTACATTATTACATAAGTGATAAGCTTAAGACTGTTTAATATAATAAAAAAATTCAAATTAATTTTATAAACGAAGACCTCAACGTGATAATGCAACCATTTACATTGAACATGACCTACAATAGGCTTATTGAAGACCCTCTTTGGCAACACATTTTGATGATTAAAATGCCTTTTATGTTCGTTCACTTCTACTGTAGACGCGTAGACGTCTGATGGTTACTCTATAGTCTCATTGAGATTAATATATACATATACTATTTATAATTGAGATATCTCTTTCTGGCCAGCTGTGTACATTCATGCTTTATAGTGTCATGCTTGCTTTCCTAAAAGACCAAAGAGATCATATATATATATATCGTATATGTGTATATAGGTATATTGGTGGGCTCATATGTACCTCTAATTTCGAGGTAGGTAGGCGAGACAGGTCGGTTTCGGCCGTGCGGGGAAAGGTCATTTAATACCCAAACTTTTCTCCTTGCTAACGTGGGGCCACAATCACGTGGGTCCCACTTGCGTTAATGAAATGCGAGACGGTCGGTCCCGACTGTCACGCGACCAAGACGGGGCGGGGCCCATGACTCGTGAGATTAGGATTTTGATAAAAAGATCGGGGCCCTCCTCCAACTTGCGTGACCCAATTCTGCACCCGCAAGTTGGAAACCGGAGAGACCGCCTCGAGGAGAGACACGAGTCAGAGAAGGCTGGTCTAGACTGTGCCGCGACTCAGGTGGGGCCAAGAATCGGGTGAGTCTAGGAATTTTGTTAAAAGATGGGTCGTTCACTCCCCAACGCCCCCCCCCTCCCACCCCGCGCCAGCGTCACCTAATTGTCGCACCCGCCGCACGAAACCGGCAAGGCCAGGCCGTCACAGGATGCGTCCTTATGGGGTGACGAGCCCCGCTCGGTTGACTTCCCCGACGCGAAACCGACGACCTCTGTTGCTTCGCCTCCCTCTCCGCCTCTCGCCGACGGCAGGCGATTGGAGCGTCGTCGTCCTTCGCTTGTCCTCCGCCGCCCGATCACACCTAGATTCGCCTCCCGATGGCTCCCTACCGTCGGATCCTCTCCGGGGACGACCACCCGGCGCCTCCTCCGCTTTCTCGCGACGGACACTCGGGGCTCCCCTTCACCCACATCATACTGATCGCGGCTGCCGTCTTCGCCGGCGTCCTTCTCTTCTTCACCTACTACGCTGTCCTCCGCCGACGGCGCCGCCCCTTCGGCGCCGCTACAGCGGGTGTGGGGCCAGAATATGACGACGCTGCGTCGCTTGACGACGGGGAGCCGTTCCACCATGTGTGGTACATCCGGACCGTCGGGCTCGACGAGTCCACCATTGGTTCCATCGCGGTGGCTGAGTTCAAGGCTGGCGATGGCCTCCTCGACGGCGCCTCCGACTGCTCCGTCTGCCTCGGCGAGTTCCGCGACGGGGAGCTGGTCCGTTTGCTCCCCAAGTGCGGCCATGCGTTCCACATTTCCTGTATCGATACCTGGCTCCGGGATCACGCTAATTGCCCCCTTTGCCGGTCTCACATCGTCGATCCCGACGCCGAACCTGCGATCCCAGCTGCCGCCCCAGCCCTTCCTACCGCTGCCGCCGGTGAGTCAGTGGACTTGGACTCTGGCTCCTTTGCTCCGGTGGAGACTTCCCAGATGGGAATCCAAGCACTGGAGGAGGAGGAGGACGGAGGAGGACCGGGGAGCGTAATTGAAATTGGGATTCCGGTCAATTCCCTGCAAGTGTTTGATTCATGGTCTGAAAGTTCTGTGTCGCGTGTGCAGAGTGATCTGGTGGAATGTGGATTACAGCCGGTTTGGCGATCGGTTTCCATGGACACTCCATCGATGGATGCTGTCATCTTCCGAGTGAGGCCAGAAGAAGGTCCCATTGATGAGGAGGGGGAAGATCTGAATTTTGAGAAAGACAGCATGCCCAATAACAGAGGAAAGCAGGGGAATTCCTCCAATGGGGTTGAGGACCAAAAGGATGATTCCGGTATAGGAAGATCATTATCTAGCAGTGGGAGAGGGTTCTTCTTCTCAAGACATGGACGAGTTAATAGAATCCACAGTATGCCTCTATAAGCGGGTATTTTCTTTGTCTTGAGTTGGTAGCATCTGAGAATTTTGAATAACTTACTGGTCCGAGGCATGTCAGGAGCTGCTTGATTCTATTTATGAAACTCATGAAAGGGTTTCAGAATGTTAACTTTCCTGGTGGACTCAAATTGACAGTAATGAAAATAAGTGCATCTTTGGTTTTATGTCGGTCGGATGCATGAATTAATTATCTTTTTGCTTTTCTACCTAAAGTAATATCTGTATTGTTAGAGGTTGCAAATGAAACTTAGGTTTGCTTCTTTAGCCACCTTTGCTTGTTTATATGGTTCTTTTTTTTTCTTTTTGCCATCGCTTTGCGCATGCAGGATGTCTTTGGTTTTGTTGTTTGCCAGATTTGTCTGGAAGAAGTTTTGCTTGTGATTTTTTTTGTTGCCTTTGAATTCAATTCATTGTCATTGATAGATAAATTTGAATATGTTCCAAAACATCTTATCCATTTGCTTTTAATCAGTGCATCAATGCTGACTTACTATCTCGAGTCCTGAATTTTCTTTGGCGAGAGCCTCAATTATCTGGCTGCCCTTGATAGAGAACTAGTTTGCTTCGGTTTTTCAATTGTCACTATTACATGGTGTCGTTCCTTGTGGAATCATTTACAGTTGGAAAATCTAAAATTTGTAATTGTTTACTTATTGTCCTTCTTCATAGTATGAATACGTATTATCAATAATGTAAGACATGCAAATTTAGTTTGTGTCCATGAACTAAGGGGGTGATCATCAATGGAATAAGATATGACTCAACTTAAATTGTCTAGAGAATATGACTAAAAGACTAGAATTTCTCATTGTTAGATTCATATTTAGGCCCTATCACATCTACATTGCATTCTTAGTACTTGTTTATATTTCTGTTTGAACATCTTTGGTGAAACTTTTTGATACTTCCATAACATGAATAGTAGTTAATGGGTCGTCATTTGTTTTATGATGAGTTTAAATAGCTGGATTAGGCGATAGAGTTATATATGCACCATTGGAGTATTCGATCCATGTGTCTTCTTCTTTTATCAATCCAACATGATCGTTCTTGCCATGAAGATGAGGCTTGCTAATACACATAATAACCATTTAAATAAATTGTTTATTAATTTGATACTTTTCTACTTTTGTTGTATCATAACTGTCTCTAGCTGTCATGGCAAACAAGATAGTTGCATGGCACGTGATCTTCCTGATGAGATTAACTAGGTCATCAAAAAAAGGATGCTAAGTTGTCAAGGTAAGAGGCCTATAATACTAAGAAGTTAGAAGGGTGTTTCTGTTTTCTTTGCCAGGATGTCTTTTATGCTTAACTTAGACAGATGTAGTTTATATATACACATCCAAATCATTGATTCAGAGAGAATGAACAATGAAGCTCTTAGAATGGCTCTATGTGGAGGGGCTGTCAGTTGTGGTGGCAAGCCTCCAACCAATTCTGCCCAAAGGGTGTTGAGGTCCCCAAATATGCCCGAGAACCGTTGACCATGATCCAGACTGAGTTTGGGAGGACTAGAATTGCTTGAAAGGAAAGCAACAGATCCTGATTACTCAAGGACATGATCTGAGCTTGTAGGGTCAATAGTTCTCGGGCATGTTTGGGAACCTCAACACCCAAGATGGTTACCATGAAGGGCCCTCAGTTGAGAAATTCTCAAGCATGGCTGAGGCCATCTTAGATCCAGCACTGCCATGGTTTGTGAGGTATTGAGTATCGCGACATACATTTACTCATAGCATATATGTATATATTTGCATCACATAAGTCTTTATATTATGTGTAGCATGGATTTAAATACTGGTTGGTACGGTGCATACCGGCTGATGTTTGCCAGTCGGCCAAGGACCAATATCAGACCATACACATGGATTTAGATACTGGTGACAATGCAAAAAACTATATCACAACAATTCATGAAGTCAAATTTCAAAGAATAAAGTACAGTTAACTGTTTTTATGTATCTATCTGCTAATGGAATAGGCTAACCAGGACACTTTAGTAGTACACAAGTTATTATTTACTCTCAATTATCCAAAAAATTATGTTATCAAATATGATGTAATTCCTCCTTAAGAAACACTAAAGGTTTTTAGTCGAATACAAATTTAGTTCAGTAATCAGATATACTCATGATGAAACAATGACTTCTAGTCGAATACAAATTTAGTTCAGTAATCAGATATACTCATGATGAAACAATGACTTCTAAATCAATCAGATGGTAAGCTATCTCAACTATGAAGCAGAGACACTTTAAAATGTATGTTTTGTTCGTGGCATGCATTCTTGTTTAAACACTGACATTTATCTTGTGCTTCCGTAGACATGTCAGTTACTTGAAGATACGAGACAAGCATGTTTTCTACACAAGGCTTCTAGACATGTTGATTAATGGAAATTTAATGTAAGTTGGTTTTAATTTAGAATAACTATATGTAGTTCTAAAATATTCTAATTTTCATTTGAAGTAAATTTGTGAACGATTGTTGTTCTTATGATCTCAAATTGTCTAATTAGTATGAACAATATTTTTGTACATATCAGTTTCCATCTTCACTCCATGTTGTTTCATGAA